GAATCAAAAGAAATAAGAAGCCGATAGGAATGAGGAGTCAAAAAAATGAGGAGCCAAAAGAAACAAGGAGTCGAAAGAAACAAGGAGTCAAAAGAAACAAGAAGCCAATAAAAATGAGAAGCTGAAAGAAAAAAGAAGTCAAAAGAAACAAGGAGCTGATAGAAATAAGGAGCTGATAGAAATGAGGAGCTAATAGAAATAAGGAGCCAAAAGAAATGAGGAGCCAAAAAAAATAAGGAGCCGAGAAACCTAAAAGGAAAAGAATAAAAGTTAGTATATTAAACATATTAAAAGTGAAAAGAGAAGAGTCTACAGAAGTGAAGTTCAAAGTAAAATATAAAAATATGATAAATGAAAATTTTTTATATTAATATGATCACCAATCTTAATCATAGTTAACATCAGTCTATGTTATTGCACAAACAAGAAACAGAAGAAATTAATAGTAGTTAGACTTGAATATTTAATAAAATAAAAAAAAATTAAATCTATGATTATGTACTTGTTTAGCTCTAAATAGAGTAAAATTAATAACACAGAAATAGAAATCAGATCTCAAGAATCATCTATCACTATATATACAGAATAGTATAATGATAACAGCAATCAAGATCAAATGACTATAAGAAAATAAATTACTGTATTGTACATAAAAATTAGACTAACAATCTCATATAGTGATACAAAATATAGAAGCAAGCATTACTTCGGATGCAAAGATATAACATACAAAGTTTGCTTTGCTATATATATATACCCGATAAGATACAAGATTTTGTGTACGAACAGCATTTAATTTGCTATATAACTATTGTTACGACAGGAAGAGCTTTTATATATTCAAGCCAATTTAGTCCAGCGCTGTAAGCATAAATCCTGATGGTAAGTAGCACAATCCGGATTCGTATTTGGTAATAATTATCGATTGGGGTAGGTATTGCCGCTTCAATAAGACTATATCTGCAAGTAGTTGTCATAGGCTATGCTTAGGTTATTTAGGTTCTAATTAGGTTGCCACGGATTACGTATAGGTTCAAGTTAGGTCTTTGCAGGTTATGTTTAGGTCCAAGTTAGGTTTTCACAGGTTACATATAGGTTCAAGTTGGTTACCACGTATCACTTATTAAACAAGGTCAGAGCTTATTATATATTTATTATCAGGTCAAAAATAAGAAAGAGTTAGGTAAAGTGTTCACTTTATTTATTATTGAAGCCAAGTAAGAAAGAGTTGGGAAGAGTTAGGAGTTAGGAAAAAAAGTTATTTTATTTACTAGACAAGTACTCTATTTATACATTTCGATATTCAAGGGTTTCAAACCCGGATCTGGGGTTTCGAACCCAGATTTGGGGTTTCGAACCCAGATCCTGGGTTTCAAACCCTAACTCTGGGTTTTGAACCCATATACGTGCTATTACTATCATGACTATATGATTTACTATGTTTACATAGGAAGATAAAAAAACTGCATAGCGAAAATGCAAGATACAAAAAATTTGTCAAAATTTTTCGTAACATATTCCTCTTCTCAAAGAGTGAGCTCCATCGAACCCATCAACAACCTTTCGGATTTTCTCCTCCTTCAACCTTCCTGCTTTCATTGACAACTCCAGAAAGTCAAAATCTAACATTCATTCAAGCACCAGATAGTAATTCGGTAAACCAGGATTATATACCTTTTTTTTTTTTTTTTTTTTTTTATACATCTATTCATTCATTTTATGTATTTATATATATTTTTTTATTACTTATTTAGACTTTCCTTTCAAATCAAATACACATCGTGTTGGATTCAAGAATATTGAAACACAACAGTTAATTACCTTGGTGAGTTGGGGTCTACGTAAATACTGGCAAAATTTCTTCACGGTCTAAGCAATAGGAATACCTTTCACTCCATTCATAAAATAGTTTCTCTTAATCAGATTAATCATTAGGGTTACTTTTTTATCATCATGGCCTTGACCTTCTCTAGCTTTCCAACTCCATTCGAGCACCTTTTGGCCATCCTTATCCGAGTTTTTACCATTTTGGTAGCACTATCCGGGATTACATTGTTCTTCTGCATCGCATTGTTAAACCGATTTGTATATAATTCATTTTCATTAGACTGTTTATATTTGTCTTTAATGACCTCATTGTTGGGTATTTTACTTGTACATTTGATCCTTCTGGCCAGTTGGTTACTAGACAATAGTAAGTTTTCTTCTTCTTTTTTGCTTGTTTGTGAAGGTTTGTTACTGCTTGTACTAACTACCTCATTCGGTTTATTACTTCCATCCTTTTTTCTATTTTTATTCACTTTATGCTCCTTATTTGAGTTACTTTTTTCTTACTCTTAATGCCTTTTTCCTATTGTCTT